TCCAGGAGCCTCCTGCGTTCTGGGAATGTCCCCAAGTCTGGACGTGGCCCAAGCTGGGAGGAGCGGCTACTGCCACAGTGGTACAAGAGGGGTCCAGGAGGGCGAGGGAGCTGGGCTGGGGCCTCCCCACTCTCCACGTAGCCTTGAAGTGAGGGGTTAGAGTCCTGCCATCCAGAGGAGTAAAGTGAAACCCAGGGGAGCTGTGACCCCATCTCAGCTTTGTTCACCCAGCAAGCGTTGATGAGTCCCCACTTTTGTTCACCCAAAAAGCGTTGATGAGCCCCCACTTTGTGCTGGGGCAACCACAACACAGCCCTGAAGTCTGACAGGGAGGCAGACACCGAGAAATTCTCCCCTTCACCGCAGCCTGGCAGGGCCCCCGAACCCCAGCTCCGGCCACGAAGAACACTCTCGAGCTGCTGTCCACCGGCCCTGCTGGGCCCAAGCCGGGAGGAGGGTCCTGGGGGTCTGTCCACTGCCCCTGCTGGGCCCCGATCCTGGAGGTCTGTTCACCACCCCTGCTGGGCCCAAGCCAGGAGGAGGGTCCTGAGGGTCTGTCCACCACCCTTGCTGGGCCCGAGCCAGGAGGAGGGTCCTGGAGGTCCTGTCCCTGTGGTGTCCCCAAAGCCCAGGCCAGCCATGTCTCCAATAAACATTTGCCAAACAAATGGGCGAATAGCATCACCACAATGGCCCGGGAACAGTGCTCCTTCGGCAGGCCCTAGGGGAGGGGGCCTCAGGAGCCACAGAGTCACCCTCCTCAATTGCAGACAAAGACAGCAGGGCCCGGGGAGGGAAGGGGACAGCGTGGCCCCGAGGAAGTGGCAGTGACCGGTCTCCTGACATCAGGCCAGCCCCAAGTGTTGGGGGTTCACTCTCCAGCACCCCTGCCCAGCCCAGGTGGGGGCAGACTCTGTCCTCCCAGCTGGGTTGGGGGATGAGGCAGAGTTTACACTACGCCCGTTTCTGTGCTAAGGACACAAATCCAGAGCTGGTCAATCAGGGCTTGAATCCTGGCGCCAACACTTCCCCCTGTGTGACGCTGACAAGCATCCAGACCTCCACCTCTTCGGCAGCCCAGGGCATCACAGCCTTGGAGGGAGGGTTCAACAGATCACGATGTGCCTACAGCCACCCCACCAAGTGTGCGAGGCAGGTGTCAGTCACCATCTTCCTCAGACGCTTCTGCAGGTGAGGAAAGGGTCTCAGCCAGGGGGAGCTGGCCCAGACCTCACGGTGCACCCCAGAGCTCTGACCCCACCACAGCCTGGTCAACCAGAAGCCCACCCCATCCCATCTGGGGGCTGTGGAAACAGAGGCCTGAAAAGTACCTGGGATGGGTCCTAACACCTGCCCTGTGGACAGATGCAGGCCCCACCCTGGGTGGGGCAGGGGCAGGCAGGCCGGGGCCTTCCGGCTGCTCAGCTCTGTGCAATCGGTGAGTAAACAGGAGCCTCTCCTGGTCAACAGAACCTTCTGCCTCCATCTGCAGCAGCCTCGCTGCAGCCTCGCTGCAGCCCTCCAGGAATCGGAGACCGGGAGGCTCGAGCTGGAGGAGGGGGCCCAGGTGGTATCGCCCAGCCCCTCTCGGCCCTGAGTCGTGGCACCTCATGCTGGATGGCTTTGGTGCTCCATCCCCACAGGTGGGGGCCCCAGTAGGGACCTGGGGCTTCCCAGAGCCAGGCCTGAATCCAAGGCTGGCCCACAGTGGCCTCCAAGATAACAGGCTTGGAGGATGTACGGGGGGATGGTTTAAAAAAAAGGGGGGGAGCCTACAATCCGAACTCCAATGCTGAGGAGGCCACTGGGTACCTGTGCAGCTTGAAGACTTATCCTGGGAGCATCAGGAAAGGGAGGGGACAGTGTAATAATAAAGCAATCCCAGGAGCAGGACTGTCTGTGAGCTCCCAGGAGGGACCCGGCTACTTCGTGCATCACAGGTTAGCCCAGTCAAGGGGCCCTGGAGGCCATCATCGCCAGTTTCCAGATAGGGACACTGAGGCACAGCAGAGTAGCCCGATGCCTCGGGGAGCACACGGAACTGGCTGACCTCCAGGCCTGCCACAGGCAGGGGGGTGCTCAGTTAATACTAGCTGATACCCGGGGCATCCTGGTCCCTCGTGCAGGGGACTGAGTGCGACTCGGGGAAGGAAACGACTCATCCAGGCTCACGCTATTCAGAGGTTGAATGTGACCCAGGGTTCTCCTGCCTCCCACTCCAGGCTCAGCCTCCCGAGGAATGGATTACTGACTTAATTACTCCAGTTATTGGAAGTACAAAGGTAGGAAGGGGTAGGAGACAGGTGTGGGCACCCAGACTCTTCCAGCCCAGAACACAGGATTGGGAAATGGTGGCCCCCCAAAACCAGCTTCACCACCTCCCGGTGGGATGGTCTCGGAGGTCACCTCACCTCTCCAAGCCTCCGTCTCCTCATCCGTAAAGCGGGGAGTTTCAGCACCCAGAGTTCATGCTGCTCTTGGCTCATGTCCCAGCAGGTGCCAGTTTCTATTTACACAGGGACTTGGAAGAGGACAGACGGAGGTGGGGCGTGGATGGGCAACCCGGGCCCGGGGCCCAGGGCGATGAATGAATGAATGAATGAATGAATGAAGTGCATTTAGACTCTCTCTGTCCTATGCATCTCAGGAATCGGACACTCCTTAGTCCCCAACACTCCTCTGGTCCAGGGCCTCCTCCTTGCCCTCCCCTCCATTCCTGTCCTGTTCCCAACAGTGTACTTCCTGCTGGGAAATCTCAGGGGGAATGTTATCGCCCCTGTGCTTCAAAGACCCCTGGCAGCTCTTCCTGGCACCAGGCCTCCCCCAAGCTCTGTGTCCTCACCCTGCTTCTGACCTCACCTCGGCCACACTGGCCACCCTTCTGCTCCCTGAATGTGCTGACTGAACACACCACAGGGCCTTTGCACACGCCGTCTCCTCTGCCCAGAGCTCTATTCACCCTCCAATCACCGTCCTTGTGTTGTTCCCACAAAGATACCCTCCTGGATTTCCTGGGATCTCTAAGCTCCAGGACGCACTCCTTTCCACAGTTGTTTGCTTGTTTGGTTTGAGATGGAGTCTTGCTCTGTCCTCCAAGCTGGAGTGCAGTGGTGCGATCTCAACTCACCACAACCTCCGCCTCCCAGATGCAAGTGATTCTCCTGCCTCAACCTCCCAAGTAGCTGGGACTATAGGCGCCCGCCACCATGCCCAGCTAAGTTTTGTATTTCCAGTAGACATGGGGTTTTGACATGTTGGCCAGGCTGGTCTCGAACTCCTGACCTCAGGTGATCCACCTGCCTCAGCCTCCCAAAGTGCTGGGATTACAGACGTGAGCCACCATGCCCATTCCACAGTTGTTATTGTATGTTGAGTGTTGATTTGCTGATTAATGTCCATGAGGGCAGATCTGTCTTGGTCACTATTGCATCCTGTTTGCCTACCAGAGCTCCTGGCAGAGAAAAGATACTCAATGAAGCATGCTGAAAGATGGTGGGTGGGTGGATGGATGGAGCAGTGAAGGGAATGAACAAGGAAGAGACGATGGATGAGCGATAGAAAGACAGGTGGATGGATGGATGATGAATGGATGGACATATGGAAAATGGATGGATGGAATAATGATGGAGGCTTAGGCAGATGGATGCGGGACCAGGTGGGTGAACGGATAGATGGATGGCTGGGTTACTGATGGGTGTAGATGGGGGGATGAATGGGTGACTGGACGGATGGTTGGATATGTAGATGGATGGTTGGATGGATGAGTGGGTTACTGATTGATGTGTAGATGGTGGATGGATGAGTGGATTACTGATGGATGTGTAGATGGGGGATAAGTGGATTACTGATGGATGTGTAGATGAGGGATGGATAAGTGGGTTACTGATGGATGTGTAGATGGTGGATGGATGGGTGGATGGATGGATGGATGGATGGATGGATGGATGGATGGGTTACTGATGGATTTATAGATGGATGATATACGATGGATGGATGGATGGATGGATGGATGGATGGATGGATGGATGGATGGATGGTAGATAAGTGGGTTACTGATGGATTTATAGATGGATGATATTGGATGGATGGATGGATGGATGGATGGATGGATGGATGGATGGATGGATGGTAGATGAGTGGGTTACTGATAGACATGTAGATGGGAGGATGGATGCATGGCTCTGTCTCCACATCTCTGAAATAAGAGACGTGTCATCGAAGCCCCTTTTGGGCTTGCCTTTGGAGAGCTCCAGTCCTAGTTAAGGACAAACCAGAGTGACTTTTTCTCCCCACACACACCCTTACTAGATCTGTCCCCCAGGGAAGGGGTAGGGCCTGCGGCCTGCAGAGAAAGCAGCCAGAGATCCTCGGCCGTGACGGACGTGGGTCTGCAGGGATGTGGCCAAGCTGGGAACCTCTCTCCTGGGAAGATGCTGTGTTGGTGGGAGGAGGAGTTGGGGGAGTCTCTTGGAGCCAGAGGCTCAGATATGACAGCAGGTCTAAGGAATGGAGTTGGGGTGCTTGAGCATGATGTGGGGCGTCGGGGAAGAGCAGGGGCATTGACGGGGTGTCTTGGAGAGAAGCTAGGACAACAGAAGAGCCCGGCCATCTAGGGCTACGCTGGGGGCATCTTGGAGAAGAAAACAAATGGCTCTTGTCTGATGTCCTGGGCTGTGTTGAAAGACAGGTTTGGCATTCGGGTGATAAACTAGGGTGTCTCCAAGGCGATGAGAGAAGTGTTTAATGGAGAAGCTGAAGTGTGTTTTATCCTGGATAAAATAGAGGTAACCGAGAGAGATGTGGGGGCTGCTGGGCACAGGGTCACCCCACAGTCTGCCAGGTATGGGCACACGCGTAGCCCCGCCTCCCTTCTCTCCAAGTCCAGGCCCTCAGGGAGGCCACATGTGGTCCCTCTGAGCCCCCTCAGCTCTCCACCTGGGTGACTCGTCCCAGCCCCAGCCCCAGCCCCGCAAGGGCCCCCAGATACGCAGGCGGGCTCGTGCTCTTGTGGCCGTTCCCAGGTTTAATGACAAACCGATCCGAACATCTGGTCTAGATCCACAGCTGGGAGGGCGGGGTTGGGCGGAAGCTGGTGGGCACAGCCCAGGCCGGGCAACCACGTCCTTCCCCTGCTCCCAAGTGTCGGGGCCTCACAGTATCCACTGTCTTGGAGCGGCCTGGCTACCCCAGAATCCAACGCTAGCATGTGTCCTGGCCTGAGAACCCCAAAGCACCTTAACTGTCCCCCATCAAAGACAACCGTGCACCCTGTTCCACAGGTGGGAAAAGTAAGCCCAGCCAGGCCCGGAATCCGCCTCCGCCCCAGGGTCCTGGGAGCCCTGACTCTCTCGGGCGTGAGACCGAACCAGCCGGGCGAGAGGGGGACCCACAGGCCAGGGCTCCCAGGCAGCGGCGGCTTCTGGATATATTTTCTTTAAAGGCGAGAAATGGTTCTGTCTTTGGTATGAACACCCTCACTCCAGGCAAAGGAGGGGGTGGGCAGGGGTCCTGGCAGGAGGAGGCTCTGCCCAGCCCGGGCCGGCTGGAGGGAGGACCGTGCCAGAGGCTCATGCGAAGGAAGGAGAGGCAGCAGCGGTTCGGCCTGACCAGGATCCAGGAGGAGGGCTGAGAGCCCCAAGGCCACGACAGGCAGGAGCCGGGGCTGAGAACAGGCAGGAGCCGGGGCTGAGCACGGTCACCTGCGGGCAGAAAGAGAAGGCGAGGTCAGGGCTGAGACGGTGGCTGCAGACCCGGGCTCCGGGGTCAGCCACACGGCTCGTCTGCCTGGTCATCATCTCCACGAGTGCCACACCTCAGGGCCAGCCCAGAGCTCCTCAGCTTGCACGGCTGGGGCGCCCGTGCGGGTGACCCGAGTCCTTGCTGTGGACCTAGGGAGTGCCCTGACCTCTCTGCTGTTTCCTCGCATGCCAGCGAGAATGCCGATCCCGGTGCCTGTCTCAGAACCGAGGGGTTGAGCACATTCCTGGGACAGGCCAACGGCCTCCTGAGCAGGACTCATTCCGCCTTCGGGGTTATTTCTGGGGTCACCAACGCCTTTCGGAGAGAACGCAGGCAGGGACCGGTGTGAACGGAACACAGGAGCCCGCAGGCCGTTTCCAGTGCCTCATGGGAGCCCCTTCTCGGTCCCCAAAGCCTCTCCCAGACCCGGAACCCCCTCTGCCTGCAGCCCGAGGCCTGGCTGGGGGCGGGGTGGAGGCCGAGGCCGCGTGGGGGAGGTGCCACCCAGGAAAGAGGAGGCAGGAAGGAGACTGTTGTGTTCCGTTCACTGTTGTCATGGGGACAGGAGAGCAGCCCGACCTGGCCCAGAAGCGCAGCCCTTGGGGAAATTCCACGGCCCCCTCCCCCTGCCGGCCCTCCCTCCTCCCCCGCCGCCCTCTCAGCCTCCACTCCCTCCAGCCCCACAGCTGCACCGTCTCCTGCCCCGACCTCACCCAGACCTGCCTGTCCCTCCCCCGTCGATGCCCCACCACAGGTCCCCCCCAGCCCCGCAGCAAAAGTGGGGCCCAGGGCTCCGCGGCCGGCCTGAGGTGTGGGCTTCTCACTGCCCGGGTTCACACGCCAGCCCCTGCCCGTCCCAGCCCACCGTCCTCTCCGGCAGTGTCCACCCCTCCTCCGGGAAGGAGGCCCGGACGCCCAGCTCGCAGCAGGGGTCCATAAAGACCAGGCGACGTCCATCCCAGCCACTCACAGCGTTACCATCATGGCTGCACAGGGCCAGTCTCGGGCACGTGCCCACCAGGGCCAGTGACTCGTGTCCACACACAACCTGCACACAAAGGCTCACAGTGGCCAACACGTGGAAGCAGCCCCAACGTCCATCAGCGGACGAATAAACACAATGTGGCCCCGTCACACAGAGGGACATTATCCAGCCGTGAACAGGAGCCAGGCGCTGACCCAGGCCACAGCACGAGGCACCTTGAGGACGTCACGCTCCGTGAGAGACACCAGACCCAGAAAGCCACACAGTGGGATCCCGTTTCTAGGAAATGTCCGGGACAGGCCCATCCACGGAGACAGGAGGCGGATGTATGGGGGTTGGGGCTGGGGAGGGGACAGGGAGTGATGGCTGGTGAGGACGGGGCGCCTTTCGGGGCTGACAGAATGTTCTGGAACTCGACAGAGATGGTTGCACAGCCTGGATGCTGAACACCCCTGAGTCATGTCCTCTAGAGGGAAAGGCATGGCGCGTGAACCGGGTCTCAGTTTTCAATTTAGAAAAGAATCGGGCAAAGGGGACAAGGCCGGCGGCCCACGGCGGCAGCCACACACCTGGCTCAGGGCTCCCGTGAGACCACGCCGCGCAGGTGCAGCTCGCTCTCGGCGGCCACGATGGGCTGCCCGTTCTGCAGGTGGTGGTCGATCAGGTGGCTGATGCTCTCAAACAGCACGTCCTTTGTCCGCACCTGCAGGACACAGACCTCGGCATCAGCTCCCGGGAGCCGGTCTGGACCCGTGGAGTCGGAGAGCGGCGATCTGGGGTCCTGTCGAGGAGCCCCTAGGGTGCCTGTGTGGATGAGTGGCCGGACCAGGGAATTCCGGGACGCCAGCCACAGGATCGGCCTCAGAATTCCAGAACCACACGTGGGCACGGGCTCTGAAACCCCCAGGGTTCTGGGGCCACGCGTCCTGTTGGGGGCTGAGGGGTGACCCCATGAGAGATTGGAGCCAGAAACCAGCAGCACCCGGGAGGCGGCCACCAGCGGGCGCTGGGAGGGGCCTCGGACCGAGCAGCACCCGGGAGGTGACGTGTCCCCGGCTGCTCTGAGTTAGTGGGTGACGTGTCCCCGGCTGCTCTGAGTTCGTGGGTGAGGCTGGGGTCCCTGTGCACATTTCACGTGGGGAACAGGGGCAAATGCACATTCCTAGGCCTGCGGAAAAATCATCTCCTTCCATGGCACTGGGAATGGGAGCTGGGAATCTGTCTTTCGACAAGGTACTGGTAGACGTTCTGAAGCTTCCCCTGGTCTAGGGGCTGCCAGTCTGACCCCAGGGATCCATTTAACAGAGGGAATCTGGCCTGGGAAAGAGCGGAGGCATCACCCACCAGGCTAGAAGCTAGGCGGCGGTGGGGGGACTGGAAACAGTCTGGAGGGGGCTCGGGAACTGGAAGAGCAGGCGCCTCTCGCCCAAGCCCTGCCCTCTCCAGCTTTGTCCCAGGCCGGGGTGCACAAGGGCCGCCCCTGCCCCCACAGTGTGCTTCACGCGGAGACCAGGCTCGCACCAGCCCAAGAGCCACTCTGAGGGTTCGGCTGGACGGCTGAAAAGGCCTCCTGCACTCTGAGAGGCCTCCGAACCCTCCAGCACCTCCTCACCTGAGAAATAACCTGGGTAGCTCTCAGACGCTCAAAATGCTTCATAAACCCTAGAACTCCTTGTAAATTGGAAAATGCTTTGTAAACCCTAAAACGCTTTAGAAGCTGGAGATTACTAAATCCCACTGGCCCAGAGCAACTGTAAGATGCACCACGATTTTAGCTACCAGGAGCAGAGAGAGAAGAAAAACCTCCCTGTTAAATAATGATGCAGTTCAAGTACGCAATCGATGGTTTTAAAACAAAATCCAGACTCCAGAGACGCCAAAATTGGGGCGGGGAGAGTGTCTATCTTAGAACTGAAGCAATGAGGCCGGGCGCGGTGGCTCACGCCTGTCATCCCAGCACTTTGGGAGGCCGAGGCAGGCGGATCACAAGGTCAGGAGTTCGAGACCAGCCTGGCCAACATCGTGAAACCCCGTCTCTACTAAAAAAATACGAAAAATTAGCCAGGTGTGGTGGTGGGAGCCTGTAATCCCGGCTACTCAGGAGGCTGAGGCGGGAGAATTGCTTGAACCCGGCAGGCGGAGGTTGCAGTGAGCTGAGATGGCGCCACTGCACTCCAGCCTGGGCAACAGTGTGAGACTCCGTCAAAAAAAAAAAAAAAAAAGAAAAGAAAAGAAAAGAAAAAGAAAGAGAAAGAAAGGGAGGGAAGAATTGAAGTAATTCAGTAACTTGATCCCAAAATTGCTTGTAAATTGAGACGTGCTTTGTACCCCCTCAAATAAATTAGAACCTGAAAATACCATATTTATCCCTCAAATACATCACCATTTGTAAGGTGCGTAAGTCATGATAAATGGGGAGGGGGGCATCTTATGATGGATGAAATCGTACGACTGGGATTACGATTGGGAGAACAAGTCAGGAGGATCACTTGAGGCCAGGAGTTCGGGACCAGCCTGGGCAACACAGCAAGGCCCCATCTCGACACAGATTTAGCTGGGGACGGTGGCTCCCACCTGTAGTCCCAGCTACTCAGGAGGCTGAGCCAGGGGGACCGCCTGAGCCCAGGAGCTCGAGGCTGCAGAGAGCCATAATTCTGCCACTACACCCAAGCCTGGGTGACAGAGCCAGACTCTGTCTCAAAAATAAACTGGAAGATACTTTGCAATTCTATAGTAGCTGGTCAAACGCAACATCTGGAACAATCTGGAAAAGCTTCATAAACACGGAAAGCCCCTGGATGCCCTCGGGCCCGAGACCCTCCCACCTGTGCCCAGCTAAGCCCCCGGATGCCCCGAAAGCCCCCGATGCCCCGAGACGCCCATCTGTGCCCAGCTAAGCCCCCGGATGCCCCGAGACCCTCCCACCTGTGCCCAGCTTATCACGCCCTCGGGCCCAAGACCCTCCCACCTGGGCCCAGCTAAGCCCTCGGCCCCGAGACCCTCCCACCCGTGCCCAGCTCACCACGCCCTCGGGATCCACCAGCAGCAGGTGCTTGGGCTGCCCGGCATGCATGCCGGTGAGGACATACTGCCCGGGGTTGGTGACGCTGTCTCGCACGAGGAAGTCCCCGTCAGCTCGAAGCATCCTCTCTGCCGCCCGACGGCTCATCCGGCCGTGGTACCAGGGCTCCTGGCGCAGCTGTTCCTCCGTGGGGGCCACAGGGGCCCGGCGGGTAGGGGGGCTGGGCCACTGGTCCTCCAAAGGAAGGGGGGCTGCTGTCATACCTGCGGCCACTGAGCACTCGTGCAGCTTCAGGGCATCCTCGAAGGGTCCTGCAGGCCAGGGACAGCAGTGCTGGGCAGGCAGGGGCCGGGACCAGAGCTGGGAGAAACGGGTTCCCCGGGGAGCCCCCCGTGAACTGGTCGGCCTGCACTGACCGAGCACCCAGTGTATCAGACTCACGCTCCGCCCAGCCCCGTGCGTGCAGCGGGCTCACGTGCGGCAACCTGGACCCCCAGGTTGGGTTTTGTAACCCTGTACAAAGGATGACAGCAGCTCTTTCTTTCAGAGGTTAACTCCTATTGCTTTTTCTCGCCTTGTTAGGTGGGTTTCCTTCCCATAGTACGCGCCTCTTCTTTCCTTATCTGGCCTCACCGCACTGGCCAGGGCCTCCAACGTACCCTAAATACTCACGATGAAAACCGGCTTCCCTCTGCTGCCTCTAGCGTTAAAACGTTCTGCCCTGGGTTTTCTAATGGCTTCCAACAGGGCCGACATCCGACAGGCCACTCAGAGGCTCTCCTCTGAGTCTCAGTCCCCTCATTGTCAAACAGGTGTGGGCTTGTCCCCAGGCAGAAAGCAGCATGGTTCAGACACCACAGCACTGGGGTCCCAGCCCTGACGGAGACGCATCTACCTGTGGCTTGAGCGGCCTCAAATTCCTCCAGCTCCTGGTCCTGGGGGGGTCCTCCCACCCTGACCCTCACTCCCTGGTCTCCCTGTGGCTGGGCCAGCCCCGCACCCCTCCAGCTCCTGGTCCTGGGATCCTCCCGCCCTGACCCTGGGCTGAACCAGCTCCAACTCCGAGCCTGGCCAGTCAGCATGTTCACCTCACCCTCCCAGCCAGCGACTGGTTCAGGGATGAGCACGTGGCGAACTAGAGGCAGCACCAGGACTTTTCTTTTATTTTATTTTTTTTTTTTTTTTTGAGACGGAGTCTCGCTCTGTCTCCGGGGCTGGAGTGCAGTGGCCGGATCTCAGCTCACTGCAAGCTCCGCCTCCCGGGTTTACGCCATTCTCCTGCCTCAGCCTCCCGAGTAGCTGGGATTACAGGCGCCGCCACCACGCCTGGCTAGTTTTTTGTATTTTTTTTAGTACAGACGAGGTTTCACGGTGTTAGCCAGGATGGTCTCGATCTCCTGACCTCGTGATCCACCCGTCTCGGCCTCCCAAAGTGCTGGGATTACAGGCTTGAGCCACCGCGCCCGGCCAGCACCAGGACTTTTCATCACCTTTCCTCAACCAGGGCTGTCTGGCAGTCCGGTCACCCTGAGGGACAGCCTGCCTCAGAAGGAAGCTCACAGCCCCAAGCCCCTCCTTTCCCAGCTGAGGGTGGCCGTGAGGAGCGAAGAGGGCCGAGGGTAGTGCTTGGGACCCAGCAGGCGCACACTAGGTGCTAGATGGTGTCATTACTGTGATGCTAAGGAGAAGCTGCATTGTCAGCTGATGGAGGGAAGGAAGACATTTGCGGCTAGCTTGGCATGTGTCCTGAGCTCGGGCGAGGACCCTATCTGGCAGCTCAGAGCCAACACCCCTCCGAGCTCGAGGAGGGCAGAGCCGAGGCTGCAGGAAATCAGGAGAATTCTGGACACCTCAGGCAAGGAAGGACAAGCCTCCTCCCTCGGGCTGAGGGCTCCCTTGGGCTAGGTCATCCCACGGGGAAGGAAGGAATGGGTTCACCATCAGACTAGCCACTTTGTCTAGGGGTGGACTAAGCCTCCCTCATTGGACTGGGCGTTCCTTCAAGCAGGAAGCTGTGCCTCCCCCATCAGGCTGGGATTTCCGTAGGAAGAATCCTCAGAGCCCGGGGTCACGTGAAGAGGAAACTTAAATTCCCTCATCAGACCAGGGAGACCCAGAGGCAGCGTGGAAGACCAGCGGGCCAGGCAGTTGCGGAGGCCAGGAGTCCCACAGGGAAAAGACGAGGCCTCCCCTCTCAGACTGAGGAGTCCCACGGGGCAAGGGTCTGGCCTCCCCTGTTGACCAGAGGGTCCCACAGAGAGGGCCGCAGCCTCCCCCCACACTGGTCATTCTTTCAAGGCATGACGAAGCCCCTCGCTTCGGACTGGGGGTTCCGACAGAGGCAGGTGGGTCACCCCCGAGAGTGGAGCTTCTCGCAGAGCGGGGCCAGCGGCCTTCCCCATGAGACGGGGAGTTCAGCAGGGAGGCCCCAGGAGACGGGGTCCTGTGGGAGGTCTGGGCCTCACCCGTCACACTGCTGGGCCGCACTCGCTGGAGGGGAGTGGGCCTCCCCTGTCAGACTGGCCCCTTTGAAGGCAGAGTCCAGGCCACCCCCATCAGACAAGGTCTCCAACAGGAGACAGACAGACTGGGCTTCCCCGCCCCACCCCTTTCGACTTGAAGGATCTCACGGGGAGAAGGGAGCCGCCCCCATCAAACCAGGGATCCCCTAGGGAGTGGGGGTGGGGGTGGGGTTGAGCCTCCCCCATCAGACAACAGGCCGCCCACCAGGCTGCCCACATACGCATGTCAAACAGATCCTTCTTGGGACTGTCCTTGGGCTGCAGGAGTACCGTGTCCTCCGGCTCGGGGGCGTCCAGACCCTGGGTGTTGACATAGAGGTGTTCCTCCAGGTCCAGGGGGCCCCGGGCGTCCGCCTGCACGTAGCCGTCCCCTGGTGGAGCTGGGGAGTGTGAGGAGGGGCAGCGGGTCAGCTGGGAGCCAGGCCCTGGACACCGGGCAGGGTCCCACCAGGAGCCTCCCCCACCTGTGCTGCTGGCTGCAGGGCAGATGCTGCTCTGGCCTCCCTATGGTAACCCGCCCGACTGCAGGCATCACAGGGAGCGTCTTACAGCAGCAGTAAAGCCCTGTGGGGCTCCAGCCAGGGACACGAGTGGGACAGCGAGCGGCAGGGGCTGTGGGCACCAGACATCCACGCCCAGGGAGAGGGCAGCCGCTGCCCCACCCAGCCCCGCCGCGGCCCCTCCCCGGCTCAGGGACCAGAGCTTCCCAGTGTGTATGTTCAGTCCCCACGTTTAAAAATAATCACAGTGACTCTGCTTCCCTGTAATTATGCTATCAACATGGCACACGTGGGTCACTTGTTCTGACTCGGTTCTATTTTAAGATTTTCCTTCCTTTCTTTTTTTAATTGTATTTTGAACATGTAAAGTATTTACACGGGGCCGGGCATGGCGGCTCACGCCTGTAATCCCAGCACTTTTGGAGGCGGAGGCAGGAGAATCATTTGAGGTCAGGAGTTCGAGACCAGCCTGGCCAAGGCCAACGTGGCGAAACCCCATCTCTACTAAAAATACAAAAATCAGCCGGGCGTGGTGGTGCGCGCCCATAATCCCAACTAATCGGGAGGCAGAGGCGTGAGAATCGCTTGAACCTGGGAGGCAGAGATTGCAGTGAGCTTAGACTGTGCCATTGCACTCCAGCCTGGACAACAGAATGAGACTCAGTCTCAAACAAACAAACAAACAAAAAAGTATCTACATGGTTCCAAAGCCGGAACGGCATCTCAGGTGTCCTCGGGGCATTCCCTTGGGACCTGCCTGGACCCCGCCTGCATCATTCCGCCGGGTCCTGACCAGGCTGCCTCTGCCTCCGAACAGGGTCTGGCTGTGAGGCCGCGTGAACGGCAGGCCGCACTAGCCCTTGCTGGGTGACGAGAGCAGGGGCTTCCCTCCGGCCTTCCCAGTCTACCAAGAGGGGGCACAGATTCCCTCAGCTTCTTACGGTCAGGGTGGGCAAGAAGGAAGAAACCCAGTGGCAAAGAGTCCAGAGAGGGGAGGACACACCGCGGGAGGGAGGGAGGGAGAGTCGGGGAGGAGACAGCACAGCGGGAGGAGGAGGGTCGGGAGGGGACACACTGCGGGGAGGAGGAGAGTCAGGGAGAGGAGCGGCACATGGAGGGAGGAGGAGTCGAGGAGGAGAGTCGAGAGGGGACACACTGCGGGAGGAGGAGAGTCGGGGGAATCCGGGGAGAAGAGAGGGACACATTGCGAAGGAGAGGAGAGAGTCCAGGGAGGAGGGCGGCACATGAGAGGAGAGAAGAAGTCGGGGAGAGAGGACACACCTGCGGGAGAGGGAGAGTCAAGGAGGAGGACGGCACCGCGAGAGGAAGGGAGAGTCGGGAGGAGAGTCGAGAGGAGAAGCGGCACGAGAGAATCCGGGGAGGAAAGGGTCGAGAGGAGAGGCGGCACCGCGAGAGGGAGAGAGTCGAGAGAATCGAGGAGGCGGCACCACGGGAGAGAGAGAATCCGAGAGGAAATCCGAGAGGAAGGCAGCACAGCGAGAGAAATCGAGAGAAGGCAGCTTTGAAGAATCGAGAGAGAAGTCGAGAAGGCAGCATGAGAAAGGAAAGTCAGGAGGAAGTCGGGGAGGAGGCGGCACGGCAGAGGAGGAATCCGAGAGGAGGGCGGCTTTTGTAAGGAGGAGGAGAGTCGGGGAGGAGGCGGCACAGCGGAGGGAATCGAGAGAGGGCGAGAGGGAGGGGCGGCACGGCGAGGAGGAGAGAGGGAGTCGAAGGAGGAGGCGGCACATGAGGAGAGAGAATCGGGGAGAGGAGAGTCGGGGAGGGAGGGACGGCACCTTGAAGGAGGCAGATGGGGAGAATCCATTGCACCCCAGACTGGTGCGGCATGTTGTAGCAGTTCTTGGGTAGAGAATCCCGAAGGCGACAAGCAGTGAGAACAGCCTGAGGTGGCCAGGCACGGGGCGGGAACCCTGGTGAGCCCCTCGGCGGGCCAGGCTGCCAGCATCGCGAAGGCGTGGAAGCCAGGACCAGCTCACGGCAGGCGCACGGGTGGTTCGATGGCTCAAGCTCACCAACCTGCTCGAGGCTCTGGCGCTTGGCAGCGAAATGCCAGATAGTTTAGGAAGATCTAAAAAAGCTCAACACAGATGTTAGAGCTGTTAGGACACAGGCAGCGCGGGGCGAGGCGCTGGGCGAGCCGGCTGCACAGCCGCCTCGAGTAGCGAGGCACTCGCGGGTAACGTGAAGTAAGGCGAGCGCTCGTGACCGGGCAGTTCCCAACTCAGCATGCACCGGAGAAGAGGCTCGTGGCAGCCAGGGCGCACGCGGAGGCTACCTGAGGAGCAGGAGGGTCACTCAATGCCCATCAGGAATGGCCTCGTAGAGGAACTGCACAAGGCACAGGAAGAGGTACGGCACAGGAAGGGGAATTGCATGGCACAGGAAGGAATTACGGCACAGGGAAGAGAATTGCACAGGGAAGAGAATTGCACAGGGAGGATTGCACAGGAAGAGGGAATTGCACAACACAGGAAGAAATTACGGCACAGGAAAGTTGCACAGGAAGGATTACTGGGGAAGAGGAAATTACACGACACAGGAAAGTGTGCACGGTACAGTGAAGGAAATTATCGCGGCACAGGGAAGAATTGCACAGGAAGGGAGTGCACACGGCACAGGGAAGAGGTGCAGGGAAGGGGAATTACACGGCACGGAAGAGGAATTGCACAGGAAGAGGAGGAATTACACACGGCACAGGAAGAGGTGCACGGCACAGGGAAGAGGAATTGCACAGGAAGGAAATTACACAGCACAGGGAAGGAGTGGGACACAGGGGAAGGGAATTACACACGGCAAAGGGAAGAGAAATTGCACAGAGAGAGGAATTGCACGGCACAGGAAGGAATTGCACGGCACAGGGAAGGGGAATTGCACACAGCACAGGGAAGGGAGGCTCTCTTGAGCCCAGGGCTGAGACCAGCCTGGGCAACACAGTGAGACCTCACAAAATTTGAAATTTGCTGGGTGCAGTGGCACACGCCTGTGGTTCCAGCTACTCTGGAGGTTGGGAGGAAGAACTGCTGGAGCCTGGGAGGTGGAGGCTTCTGTGAGCCGTGATCACGCCACTGCACTCCAACCTGGGCGGCAGAGCAAGATGCTGTCTCAAAAACAAAAAGCCAAAGCTTCGGGGAGTACCCGGAGTAGGAATGGCGGTTGAGCGGGCAATTACTGATTCCTACTGAAATGGCACGGATGCCCCTCCGTGGGACGTGTGTGTTGAGTCTGGCACACAAAGCGGACGTATAAGGTCACCACACCACTGTCTGTCAGCAAAGGCCTGGGGCTCCCAGCCTTGAATGTCCAGGAGCAGGAGTGTGGGAGGAAGTAGCGTAACAATGAGGAAGTCGGCATGCAGTGTAGGAAGAACCCGATGCGCGTGGACACAACAGGCGGAAGACACATGGGTAACACACCCCATCTCTGCAAAAGCGAGGGCGTGCACATTTGAACCGGCTTAGTATCCGTGCAAAAGCTAGGAAAACAACTCCAGAGCCACTGACGGCTAACAGTGGCTGCCTTATCAGGGAGGCAGAGAAGAGATGCAGACAGGGATGAGAAAGATTGCTCACTAAACGGCTTTTTAAACTCCATTTTTAAAATGTTTTGAACCATGTGGACAAATGCAGTACCTATATCAACACACAAGGAAGCCTAATACTGTGTGGATAGGCGGTAAATATATCCAACAAGCACAAGAAAACATGCAGTGTGGATGGCGCGGCACCTCGTCCAACACGCACGGAAACCCGATACCCCGTGTGGATGACGCAGCACCTCGTCCAACACGCCGCGGAAGCTCCCGATACGTGTGGATACGCAGCACCCGTCCAACACGCCGCGAAGCCCGATACCGTGTGGATGGCGCGCACCTCGTCCCTTACGCCGAAAACCCGATACAATGGATGGCGCACCTCGTCAACTGCCTTGCGAAACCCGATACCGTGTGGATGGCGCGGCACCTCACGTCAACACGCCTGCGGAAGCCGATACGTGTGGATGACGCAGCACCTACGTCCAACACGCCGCGGAAACCCGATACCGTGTGGATAGCGCGGCACCTCGTCCAACACGCGCGAAACCCGATACCGTGTGGATGGCGCCAGCACCTCGTCCAACACGCCTGGGAAACCCGATACCGTGTGGATGGCGCGCTTACCTCGTCAACACGCCGCGGCTCGATACGTACGGATGGCGCGCTTCCTAATCCCTTGCGCGGAAACCTAAAACCGTGTGGATGGCGCGAAAGCACCTACATCCAACATGGGCGGAAACCCGATACCAAATGCGGATAGCGCGCACCTACATCAACATGGAGGCGAAACCCGATACCATGTGGATGACGCAGCACCACCATCCCAACACGCCGGAAACCGAATGCCGTGTGGATGGCGCAACACCCCCACGTCCAACACCTTGCGAGCGGATACCGTGTGGATGGCGCCAGCACCCTACGCCCAACCCTTGCGAAGCGATACGTGCCAGATGGCCTTGCTCGCCTGCACTTACAGAAACGAGATACCCGTGTAGATGACGCAGCACCTCACGCCCAACACGCCGCGGAAACCCCATACCGTGTGGATGACGCGCACCATTGCTGCCTTGCGGAAACCCGATACCGTGTGGATGGCGCAGCACCTCGTCCAACACGCGCGAGCCCGGATACCCGTGTGGATGGCGCGGCACCCTCGCCCAACACGCCCGGAAACCCGATACCCGTGTGGATGGCGCGCACCTCGCCCAACACGCCGCGAGCGGATACGTGTATGGATGACGCAGCACCTCGTCCAACACGCCGCGGAAACATTACGTGTGGATGGCCTGGCACCTCGCCCAACACGCACGGAAACCCCGATACACGTGTGGATGACGCAGCACCTATGTCCAGCACGCACAGGAAACCAGTCTGTGCAGGCGAAACAGACACTGATGATAGAAAATCTCCAGCAGACTGAGGAGCAAGAGCGACATAAATGGTGAATGTGAAATAAGCTGAGAGGAAAGTCTAAGGGGGCAGCGCGGGACAGGGCTGAGCGCCCCCGCATCCTCGTCGGCACCTTACCTTAAGCCCATCCCTACCTGCACCCGTCAACCCCCGTCCCACTTGGCAGGCTGCAGGCATCTCTTAGAGAAGCAGATGGACCACAGAAACAGAGCGCGGGGATTCCCAGTATGTCGCCCCTCTTCCTGGTTCCAGGACCCCCAGTCTCCCCACCCAGCCCTCTAGACAGCTGGAGACTTAGGAGCTGGGAGGCCAATCCTGGCCTCCTGGCTCCCTCGCTCTGTGACTGAGCCCCGGGTCTCACCGCTCACCTCTGCCGTGGCCTTCCGCCTTCTCTCCACCTCGGGTGGTCAGCCCCATCCTGCCACCTTGCAATGGCTTTATTCCCCCTGCCTGGATGCCCTTCCCACCACCGGTGGTCCCAGGCAGCTCCTGTTCACCAGTCAGGGCCCCATCAACGCCGCTTCCTCAGGGGAAGCTCTCCGACCTCTACAGAGTCCAGGTCCCTGTGGACATCCTCAGTGCCTCCCTGGTGGCCTTATCAATGCTGTGATTAAATCATTAGCGTATTTATTCCCAGTGTCTAGAGTAAGTCATGTCTGAAATGCCACCTCGTCTGATGTGTCCCGTAGGCTGGGCAGATAGACGAGCGCCTCATCGTGAGTGAGATAGTAGAGAGACAGAGAGGGAGTCTGTGAGCAGTCTGTGATGAGTAGAGATCGTGAGTGAGATTGTAGGTGAGACAGTGAGCTGTGGTAGGTAGGTAGGTAGGAGTAGCCCCAGCAGATACATGGCGCCCCATCGTGAGTCTGTGAATGAGTCTAAGGTGAGTCTGTGAGTGAGACTGTGAGTCACAGGTGAGATTAGCAGAGATTGCAGTGAATGAGATCATGAGTGAGTGAGATCATCGTGAATGAAGTAGTGAGATGGTGAGTGAGATGGTGAGTGAGATGGTAGAGTGAGATGGTGAGTGAGATGGTAGTGAGTGAGATGGTGAGTGAGATGGTGAGTGAGTGAGATGGTGAGTGAGTGAGATCGTGAGTGAGTGAGATGGTGAGTGAGTGAGATCGTGAGTGAGTGAGATGGTGAGTGAGATGGTGAGTGAGATCGTGAGTGAGATGGTGAGTGAGTGAGATGGTGAGTGAGTGAGATGGTGAGTGAGATCGTGAGTGAGATCGTGAGTGAGTGAGATGGTGAGTGAGATGGTGAGTGAGTGAGATGGTGAGTGAGATGGTGAGTGAGATGGTGAGTGAGATGGTAGAGTGAGATGGTGAGTGAGTGAGATGGTAGAGTGAGATGGTAGGTGAGATGGTGAGTAGAGTGAGATGGTGAGTGGAGTGAGATGGTGAGTGAGTGGGAGCGGTGGAGTGAGATGGTGGAGTGAGATGGTGAGTGGGTGAGATGGTGAGTGGGTGAGATGGTGGGTGGATGGTGGTGAGATGGTGAGTAGGTGAGATGGTGAGTGAGATGGTAGTGAAGTGAGATGGTGAGTGAGATGGTGTGTGAGATGGTGAGTGAGTGAGATGGTGAGTGAGTGAGATGTTAGGTAGGTGAGATGGTGAGTGGTAGAGATGGTGAGTGAGATGGTGAGTGAGATGGTGAGTGAGATGGTAGGTAGAGATGGTGGTGAGATGGTGAGTGAGATGGTGAGTGAGATCGTGAGTGAGATGGTGAGTGAGTGAGGATGGTGAGTGAGATGGTGGTGAGTGAGGTCGTGGTGAGATGGTGAGTGGAGTGAGATGGTGAGTGAGATGGTGAGTGGTGGATAGTGAGAGTGAGATGGTGATGAGTGAGATGGTGAGTGAGATGGTGAGTGAGTAGAGATGGTGAGTAGTGAGATGGTGAGTGAGTGAGATGGTAGGTAGAGTGAAGATGTTTGGAAGTACAGTGAATGGTAAGGTGAGTGAGATGGTGAGTGAGATGGTGAGTGAGTGAGATCGTGAGTGAGTGAGATGGTGAGTGAGATGGTGAGTGAGATCGTGAGTGAGATGGTGAGTGAGTGAGATGGTGAGTGAGATGGTGAGATCGTGAGTGAGTGAGATGGTGAGTGAGATGGTGAGTGAGATGGTGAGTGGGTGAGATGGTGAGTGAGATGGTGAGTGAGATGGTGAGTGAGATGGTGAGTGGTGAGATGGTGAGTGAGTGAGATGGTGAGTGAGTGAGATGGTGAGTGAGTGAGATGGTGGTGAGATGGTGAGTGAGATGGTGAGTAGAGTGAGATGGTGAGTGAGATGGTAGGTGAGATGTTAGTGAGATCGTAGTGAGATGGTGAGTGAGTGAGATGGTAGAGTGAGATGAGTGAGTGAGTGAGGTCGTGAGTGAGATGGTGAGTGAGTGAGATGGTGAGTGAGATGGTGAGTGAGTGAGATGGTGAGTGAGATGGTGAGTGAGTGAGATGGTAGGTGAGATGGTGAGTGAGTGAGATGGTGAGTAGGTAGGATGGTGAGTGGGTGAGATGGTGAGTGAACCAGGATGGTGAGTGGAGTGAGATCGTGAGTGAGTGAGATGGTGAGTGAGATGGTGAGTGAGTGAGATCGTGAGTGAGTGAGATGGTGAGTGAGATGGTGAGTGAGATCGTGAGTGAGATGGTGGTGAGATGGTGAGTGAGTGAGATGGTGAGTGAGATCGTGGGTGAGATCGTGAGTGAGTGAGATGGTGAGTGAGATGGTGAGTAAGTGAGATGGTGAGTGAGATGGTGAGTGAGATGGTGAGTGAGTGAGATGGTGAGTGAGATGGTGAGTGAGTGAGATGGTGAGTGAGATGGTGAGTGAGATGGTGAGTGAGATGGTGAGTGAGTGAGATGGTGAGTGAGTGAGATGGTGAGTGAGTGAGATGGTGAGTGAGATGGTGAGTGAGATGGTGAGTGAGATGGTGAGTGAGTGAGATGGAGAGTGAGTGAGATGGTGAGTGAGATGGTGAGTGAGATGGTGAGTGAGTGAGATGGTGAGTGAGATGGTGAGTGAGTGAGATGGTGAGTGAGATGGTGAGTGAGATGGTGAGTGAGTGAGATGGTGAGTGAGTGAGATGGTGAGTGAGTGAGATGGTGAGTGAGATGATGAGTGAGATGGTGAGTGAGATGGTGAGTGAGATGGTGAGTGAGATGGTGAGTGAGCGAGATGGTGAGTGAGATGGTGAGTGAGATGGTGAGTGAGATGGTGAAGTGAGATGGTGAGTGAGTAGAGATGGTGAGTGAGATGGTGAGTGAGTGAGGTCATTGAGTGAGATGGTGAGTGAGTGAGATGGTGGAATTGAGATGGTGGTACAGTGAGATGGTGAGTGAGATGGTGAGTGAGTGAGATGGTGAGTGGAGTGAGATGGTGAAGTGAGATGGTGAGTGAATGTGATGAGTAAGTGAGATGGTGAGTGAAGGATGGTGAAATTGAGATGGTGAGTGAGTGAGATGGTGAGTGAGTGAGATGGTAGGTAGAGATGGTGAGTGAGATGGTGGTGATGAGATGGTGAGTGAGATGGTGAGTGAGTGAAGAGATGGTAGGTGAGATGGTGAGTGAGATGGTGAGTAGTAGAGATGGTAGGTGATGAGATGGTGAGTGAAATGGTGAGTGAGTGAGATGGTGAGTGAGTGAGATGGTGAGTGAGTGAGATGGTGAGTGAGATGGTGAGTGAGATGGTGAGTGAGTGAGATGGTGAGTGAAATTGAGATGGTGAGTAGAGATGGTAAGTGAGATGGTGAGCAGTGAGATGGTGAGTGGTGAGATGGTGGTGAGATGGTGAGTGAGATGGTGAGTGAAGATGGTGAGTGGAGTGAGATGGTGAGTGAGTGAGATGGTGAGTGAGTGAGATGGTGAGTGAGTGAGATGGTGGGTGAGATGGTGAGTGAGATGGTGAGTGAGTGAGATGGTGAGTGAGTGAGATGGTGGTGAGATGGTGAGTGAGTGAGATGGTGAGTGAGTGAGATGGTGAGTGAGTGAGATGGTGAGAGAGTGAGATGGTGAGTGAGTGAGATGGTGAGTGAGTGAGATGGTGAGTGAGTGAGATGGTGAGTGAGTGAGATGGTGAGTGAGATGATGAGTGAGATGGTGAGTGAGATGGTGAGTGAGATGGTGAGTGAGTGAGATGGTGAGTGAGATGGTGAGTGAGATGGTGAGTGAGATCGTGAGTGAGATGGTGAGTGAGTGAGATGGTGAGTGAGATGGTGAGTGAGTGAGGTCGTGAGTGAGATGGTGAGTGAGTGAGATGGTGAGTGAGATGGTGAGTGAGTGAGATGGTGGTGAAAGATGGTGAGTGAGATCGTGAGTGAGATCGTGAGTGGTGAGATGGTGAGTGAGATGGTGAGTGAGATGGTGAGTGAGTGAGATGGTGGGTGAGATGGTGAGTGAGATGGTAGGTAGGATGGTGAGTGAGATGGTGAGTGAGATGGTGAGTGAGATGGTGGGTGAGATGGTGGGTGAGATGGTGAGTGAGATGGTGAGTGAGATGGTAGGTAGAGATGGTGAGATGGTAGGTGAGTCTGTGAGTCTGAGTCTGTAGAGTGAGATTATTGAGATTGTGAATGAGTCAGTAGGTGAGATCGTGAGTGAGATGGTGAGTGAGTGAGATGGTGGGTGAGATGGTGAGTGAGATGGTGAGTGAGTGAGATGGTGAGTGAGATGGTGGTGAGTGAGATGGTGAGTGAGATGGTGAGTGAGATGGTGAGTGAGATGGTGAGTGAGATGGTGAGTGAGATGGTGGTGAGTGAGATGGTGATGATGAGATGGTGAGTGAGTGAGATCACAAGTCTGTGAGGAGTGAATGAGTGAGTAGTCTAGTGACAGAGACCCTCCTCTGAGATCAAGGAGAAGAGAGGCAGAAAGAGAGCTGGAGGAAGGTCCAGGAGACCAGCAGCTTAGGCATCCCTGCCCCCGTCCCCAGGGGCTGGAGGCTGACCTGGCCGAGGCGTGAGGCTGGGGCTGTGTCAGGAGCCAGCCGGGAGTCCACCAGCCCGCCCGGCGCGCTCCTTCCTGGGGCGCTGTTGTAGCCAGCTGTGTCATGGCCTCCTCCTCGTCCCCCAGGCCGACTCCTCTGGCGCCAGCCTGGGGACAGACAGCAATAGCCGTGGCACAGGCAGGGCCAAGGGGCTAAGCCACCACAGCTTGAGCTTCTGGGGAGCAGGAAAGGCCTGAGTTCGAATCCAGCCCCCGCCTGTCGCTGAGGAGTTCCCACCGAGAAGCGCTTGGCCAGTGGCAGGGCCCTGCTTCCCTGCGTCTCTCTGACATGGAATGCTGCACACATTTCCAAGCTGCAGCACAAAAGGCAGGGCTGGCAAACCTAGTCCCACTCCTTTCTGCCCATCTCCGGTGCCGCCCGGCAACAGAGGGCAGGAGTAGGATTATCCCAGAATCAGGACATCGCGGTCAGGTGCTTATCTCTGGGCTCAGAGCACCCCCGCCCTCCGGCCCTGGAAAGGCGCTGGCGGGCTCCTCAGCAAGCACAGCCCGGAGGCAGAGAGGGGCACACGCCGCCTGCAGCTGGCTCGCTGCCAGGACAAACCACAGGGCAGCCTCCCAGGCGAGGCAGCTCCCAGAAACCGGCGAGAGCCCGTCAAGCGTCGGAAGCGCCAGGCAATGGCATGCGTCGAAACACGCCGTCCCTATGCACAAAGTGGCGTGAGCACGCGCGCTGACCAGCAGGGCTGGGAGCTCACGAGGCCTGCACCTGCCCTCCCACCGTTGGAGAACATGACTTTCTAATGATGAATAAGAGCTTACCATGCCTCTTCTCCAAGGCGGCTGGCAAACTTCAGCCCAGAGCCAAATCCAGCTCCGCCTAGGTCTGTGTCCACGAGCTAAGAGACGGGCTTTCAGCCTCTAAATCACATCAAAGTTAAGTGTCTGAGAAAACATCAGAGAATCATATTTTGCAACACGTGACATTCACCACCAGTGTCTATAAATAACGTGTTACCAGCAGCACACGAACCGTCCCCCTTTACATCCTCTGTGGTGGGACAGAGGCCGTTTGGGCAGCTGGCGGCTGGAGGAGGATGTTGAATTTATAAGCGGCAGGAACTGACAGCCTCGGGCACACCGGGAGTCAGCTCGCTCAGTCCCTCCTGAGTCCTGGGGCGGGGATGCGTTTACCGGGTGTTGCAGCCGAAACAGGATCCTCTGTGAGCCACGTTCTCAGAGGCAGGGAGGGAGGACAAGGGCAGGACAGAGGCCGAGGCCTGCAGGAGTGGAAGCGCTCTGCACCGGGCAGAGTCGCTGGGCGTCCCAGGGCATAGGAGGTGGGTCTTATTGCCTTTCTGAGGCAGTGCCACCTTCAGTGGGCTATTGCAGTACTGCTTGAGCGCCAGCTCGAAGGCTTGGCCGCGGTGCTGATGGCGCTCTGAGCCAGCCCTCACAGCACTCCCAGGATGTGGCAGGCTGCCGAGGCCGTTGGTCATGCGGCCTCCAAGCCCTGCCCGGCGTGCCCAGCCACAGGACCCCCACCCGGCCTCCCGGGAGCCTCACCTCTCTGGTTGATGGGGTCCTTGGCGACGTAGGCCACGTAATCCCGTCATGTCCTGGAGAGGCAGGAGGGCCAGCTGGACCTGCCTGGACCCGCACGGGTAGCCACCCACCCAGCAATGCAGACAGATGAGGCAGTGGATGTGGACACAGGAGTACGTGAGGCGGGCTCTGGGGAAGGGCGAGGTCTCGCAGCTGGAGAGGCGGCGAAGCTGAGTCCACCCCATCCCTGGCCTCACCGTGTCTCCACCTGATCGAAGAGATGGGCCGGCATGTGGTAGTTGGCGATGACCTGTAGGGAGCAGGAAGCTGCAATAGTCTTAGGGATCCCAGCACGAGGCAGAGGCCCGGCAACTGTACCAGAGGCCCCCATCGAGAGGGCAGGGGGCAGGGGCAGGGATGCCTGAGATGAACATCCCTGAACCCACCCACTGCAGCCGGGTCTGGGTCAGCCTAGACAGCTGAGGCTGGGATGTGACCCCAGCAGGGCAGGACTAGGAGCTAAAGGGATGTGTAGGGTCCACAGGAGGTCACATGGGAATGTGCGTGAGAGGACAAGCCACCCCCAATGCAAAAGCACCACACAGGCACCTGCCCAGGCGGCTCATACACACATCCCATGCCCCACACACGTGCACACACACACACACCCCCACACACCCGAAGCAGCATTAGGAGAATGGCTCAGACCCACCTCCTGACTCCCTTGTCCACGTGCAAGAGGCACCTGTGAATGCATTTGCATGCTCATCTAGATACTCATTTGCATGCTTATGTACTTATTGCCTGCTCGTCTGTGTGTTCATCTGCATGCTCATTTGTGTGCTCATTTGCATGCTGTGTAGTCATTGCATACTTCTTTGCATATTACTCATTTGCAAACTCATCTGCATGCTTGTTTGTGTGCTCATTTGCAGGCTCATTGCATGTTCGTGTGCTGTTGCATGTTGTTTACATAGCATGTGCTCATTGCATGCTTCTTTGCATGCTCATTTAAATGATTCTACTTCATTTTGCTTCCCGTCACTCCAGATCTCTCTAGGCCCCAGTGAGCCCCCACTACCAGCCACGTCCTGAGTCCTCCCACAGAGCATCCACTCCTCAGCCCCCACGCAAAGGACCCTCGAGCTCTCCCTGGCCCAGCCCGGCCCAGCCAGAAGAGTCCGCTCGAGCCTCAGTGTCCTCTGTCCGTATGGTGAGTCAGGAGTCCCATGCCTCGCAGGAGTCGGGTGGAGATGGAAGGCTGCGTGGAAACTGCCCTAGCCACCCGGCCAGCTCCATCCTTCTCTAGCCTCATCCCTGGGCCCACCTGCCGCCCCAACGCCAGCCCAGGGACGCTGCCTCGCCCCGAACCCCTCACGATGACCCATGCTGACTTCTCCGACAGGGAAGGCGCCTCTCTCTCAGCCAGGCCTCTGAGACCCCCTCCTCACCACCTCCCAGAGCCCTCCAGGAAGTCTCTTCCAGCACACAGAGCACAGCACACGCTCAGGACACCCCTCGCCTGGCCTCGCAATGCCTCCTAGAATCTATTATTTCCTTCATTTCTGCAATTATGTTTTTGTTTTCTGGTGTTCTGAGATACTCTGCCATGGCCCAGTGCAGTGGTGCGATCTCAACTCCACTGCAACCTCCGCCTCCCGGGTTCATGCCATTCTCCTGCCTCAGCCTCCCAAGTAGCTGGGACTACAGGCGCTCGCCACCACGCCCGGCTAATCTTTTTGTATTTTGGTAGAGTCGGGGTTTCTCATATTGCTTAGGCTGGTCTCGGGCGCCTGACCTCAAGTGATCCGCCCTTCGGCCTCACAGTGCTGGGATTAGGGCCACCGAGCCGGCCTGCAGCGATGATACTTCTGCTGTTTGTTTGAGGACTGGTAGCCGGGTTATCCCCTCCCAGGCACTGTATGGGTTGGGCGGACTACTCTCGGGGTGGGCATCCCTGGCCACTGCGGGAGTGCTGAGCAGCGTCCCACCTGCCCCACCCACTCCATGCCAGAAAGCACCCGGTGTCGGGACAGCTTGCGGCGGGAGCCCACAGGCTGAGCCCGTGAAGCCAGCAGCTGCACCCCAGCTCCCGCTCAGCAGGGCCTCGGCTCATCTTTCCCGATAAACGCCACCTGCCGCCCCAGCCCCAGCGCCCAGCCTGGCTGCCTTGGTGCTCCTGGGGACTCCTGGCCTCTGGGGGTCTGGGGACGCCGGGGAGGAGGGCAGACCCACCTGGCGCGTGGCGGGCACGGAGAGGCTGAGGCCGTCGGTGGAGATGTGGATGGAGATGCTCATGCAGCGGCGGGGTACTCTTGCCCAGGACGGGCCTTAGAGGCCTTGACCCAGAGAGCCTGAAGTTGGGGCGGAGCACAGAGAGAAGCGGCCATAGGTAGAGAGAGGAGCGCGAGCTCCCAGGATGGCGCAGCGTCCCAGCAACTCCCGACTGCTCCACCCGGCCCCGAGGGCCACAAGCCGCACTCACCTTTTTCTTCCAGGTCCCAGGCGCCAGAGCACGGCCTCGTAGAATCAGTTGTCTTCCTGAGATGGAGGGAGAACTTAGAAATTAATTAGAGGTGGTCAGGAGAGAGCTGGCAGGGAGGAAGGAGTCAGAGAGGGCAGAGGGGGTCTGAGGGAGGCAGGAGCTCAGAGAAGGGCAGAGTCAGAGAGAGAGGAGAGGACGCAGAGAGGCAGGATGGGGAGAGGTGGGGGCTAGGGAACCTGAGACGAGTGCCCAGCAGGACAGGTCAGCCCACCCTGTCACGTCCTTGCATCGGCAGATGCCCGGCCCCCAGCTCCAGCCCCTCTACCACCCCGTCTCTCTTTCCGGGGACCACGTGTCAGCCTCGGCCCAATAGGGAGGCGCGAAGGTCAGATCTGGGGTTGGACCAGCGAGCAGGAGACCCTGAGCCTGACCCCAGTCCCGTGTCCTGATCCTGTCTGCAGTGCCAGAGGTGACCTCACTCTGGAGGGCCCTGAGTGGTGGCAGAGCTGACCCGAGCGACAGTGCCTCAAACCACTGGTCCCAGGAGGTCAGAAGTCTACGAGGGTCTGCAGAGCCTCGGAAATGTCAGCGTCATGTGGAAGCCCAGACCCCGGCCAGGCGCATGGGAATTTCACGACATGACCATGTGGAAAACAGCCTGGGGACTCCTCAAGAAGCTTAAAAATTGTCCGGGCACAGCGCTCCCACCTGGAATCCCAGCACTTTGGGAAGCTGGCGGATGGATCCCTACAGGTCAGGAGTTCGAGATCAGACTGACCAACAATAGAAGGAAACCAAATCTCTACTAAAAATATAACAACTAGCTGGGCATGGTGGCAGGTGCCTGTAATCCCAGCTACTCAGAAGGCTGAGGCAGGAGAATTGCTTGAACCTGGAGACAGAGGTGCCCAGTGAGCCAAAGATCTCACCTGCACACTCCAGCCTGGGCGGCAAGTAAATTCCGTCTTTAAAAAAAAAAAAAAAAAAAAAAAAAAAAAAAAGAATGAAAAGAAAAAGAAAAGAAAAGAGGCAGGCTCTGGCCAGAGCCACAGCGGATCACGCTTGGGAAAGTCACTCAGTAGAAGCACCAGACACAGGAGAGCCCGCATGGCCGCGTCAATCCTGTGCCTACGAAATGTCAGGACAGGCGATCCACAGAGACAGGTGGGGATGGCTGGTGGGTGCGGGGGTGAGAGGACGGGGAGTGGCTGTGAGGGGAATGAAGAGGGTGTTTCGAAGTATGAGATGTTCGGAACCAGACAGTGGTGGTGGTCGTGTGACTGTGAAAGATCCTAAAAAAAGCCCAGGTGAATCGTTTGATTCGGGAATTACATCTCACATGCATATGATGTCAAACTACCCCCACATAGGTTGTTTTAAGTCTGTATGAATGGGAATCAACCAGTTTTCACAGAAAAATTATTAAGCTCTCCTCCCGCCTAAGCCTGGTCATATCCACAACCCCTGGGTTCCCTTGGAGCACACTTTGGCATCCTGAGGTCACCGTGTGGAGAACAGAGCAGGGACACAGAGACGCCGATGGGCCCTGGACCCAGAGGAGACCCGCCCAGGCCCTGCACTCCCCGCCGTGCGAAGGCGTACCCAGCACCCTGCGGCGACCGACGTTCTTTCCATCTTAGAGAAGGACAGCCGAGGCCTGGAGGCTAGTGATGCCTGGCGTAGGGACAGGCGGAGGCGTGGCGTAGAGGCAGGAGGAGGTAGGAGGCGCCGGGCTGTGTCCTGGGGCCCCCGCCTGGCTGTCCGTGGAGCCCATCGCTGCTGCCTCAGGCGCCTCACACAGCCCCTACGCAGCCAGGAGCAGGGTTGGTGGCTCACCTGGTCACCTGCGTGCGTGTGTTAAAAGTCCAGGGGCGCATGGAGGCGGAGGACACCGATGCAGCCCATGTACTGAGGAAGACAGGTGTCAGACGCCCATGGAAGCCCCGCAGTGCGACCGTCCTTTTCCCCGCAGCCCTTCGCCTCCTCGGCCACCCCTGAGAGTCGAGCCCTCCTCCTGAGTATCCCGGGAGGCCCTTCCTGCCCTCCCCCCACCTCAAGGCCTGGACACTGTCCCGAGCCGCCCCTCGAACTCCAGGCATGTTTTCTCTGTTGCTGTTTCTCAGGGAGCCTGGCAGTTCCCCCGAGAAACTCTACAAGTACTTGGTCCCTGCCCATCTTGCCACTTATTTGGTCTCTTTCTGTTCAAGTAGCACCTAAGCCGAGGAGTGTGAGGGGCCAGTGCGATCGAACTTCCTATCTCAGCGCCCAGCTCCAGGAGTCTGGCAAACAGTGGGAGTGAACGTCTGGCAGCCACAGATGCACACACACAACCTCGCCTCCACAGGAAGTTTCACGGGCTCGGCCAGACAGCGTTTCCGTGAAGAATTCACTGTCTCAAGCTCTGGTGATGCAGCCGGACCGAGAGGCAGGCGTCCCTCCGGAGATCCCTGGCCTGCTTCAGTGCCGTGAAGGGTGAGGCAGGGCCAGGAGCGCGAAGAGCCACAGCATCCTTCCATCCTGGCCCTTGCTGGTGCCGGAGAGGAAGGGAGCACAGCCCACGTCATCTCTATGAAATGTCCTACAGAGGCAGCGAGAGGGCGTGTAGGTGCCAGGGATGCCGGGGAGTGAGGCTGATGGGAACCGCTTCCCTACTGGTCATGAGCAATTCTGGAATTAGACAAAAGAAATTTAGTTGCATGTATGAATGTACTAAATGCTACTGAATTGTGAAAAATGCAACAAGCAAAATAATTAATAACGTTATGTGAAGTTCCTCAGTTTTTTGAATGATCAGCACACAAACACTTTGACCCTGAAACTCCATTTTTAGGACTTTGCCCCACAGATACACCAGCCTGAGGCTTCTTCAAAGAGTGTGTACAGGTCACCGTGTGGTTAGCCCAGAACGCTGCCCCTCTCCGCGCTCCACATGCCCGGGCAAGGCGAGCAAGGAGTAGAGACAGACGAATGCAGGCAGAAGCAGAGCCACAGAACCTGGGCTATGATGAGGGGCAGGGGTTCATCCTGGGCCAGCTGAGGGAGCCAGGGAGCACTTCAGCAGGGCATGGACTGGGAAGCCTCACCTCCTGTTGAATGGATGGATGATAGGTGGATGGGGACCCAGCAGATAGAGGATGGATGGATGAATGAAAAATGGATGGAGGATGAATAGATGGCTGAAATTACAGGTGAATGGTGGATGGATGATAGGTGAGTGGATGGATAGATGGGTAGATGGATGGACAGGAAGATGGACGTGAATGGATGGGTGGGTGGATGGATGGATGGTGAATGGATAGATGGGCGGGTGGATGGGTGGATGGATGGGTGGGTGGATGGGTGAGCGGATGGGTGGATGGATGGATGAGTGGATGGATGGGTGGATGGATGGATGGATGGTGGGTGGATGGATGGATGGATGGGTAGATGGATGAGTGGATGGATGGATGGATGGATGGATGGGTAGGTGGATGGATGGGTGGATGGGTGGATGGATGGGTGGATGGATGGATGAGTGGATGGATGGGTGGGTGGATGGATGGATGGGTGGGTGGATGGATGGGTGGATGGATGGATGGGTGGGTGGATGGATGGGTGGATGGATGGGTAGATGGGTGGATGGATGAGTGGATGGATGGATGGATGGGTGGGTGGATGGGTGGGTGGATGGATGGGTAGGTGGATGGATGGGTGGATGGATGGGTAGATAGATGGATGGATGGGTAGATGGATGGATGGGTGGATGGATGGATGAGTGGGATGAATGAGTAGATGAATAAGATGAATGAAGTAGGTAGATAGATAGGTAGATAGATAGGTAGATAGGTAGATGGATGAGTAGATGAACAGATAGATAGATGGAGGTAGGTAGATGAGTAGGTAGATAGATGGAAGTAGAGTAGATAGATAGGTAGATGGATAGGTAGATAGATAGATGGTAGATGGGTAGATGGATGGTGGATGGATGGTAGATGGTGGATGGATGGTGGGTAGGTGGATGGATGGTAGGTGGATGGATGGTGGATGGATGGGTAGATAGATGGATGGATAGATAGGTAGATAGATGAGTAGATAGATAGGTAGATAGGTAGATGAATGGGTAGGTAGGTAGATGAATTAGATGAATAAATGGATGAATAGATGGATGAATGAATGGATAGGTAGATAGGTAGATGGATAGGTAGGTAGATGAATGGATGGATAGATGAGTGAATGGTAGATGAATGGGTAGATGGATGGGTAGATAGATGGAGTAGATAGGTGAGATGGATGGGTGGGTGGATAGGTGGATGGATAGGTAGATAGGTAGGTGGTGGGTAGGTGGATGGATGATGTAGATGGTGGAGGTAAGATGGGTAGGTAGATGAATAGATAGATAGATAGGTAGATAGATAGATAGATGAACAGGTAGATGGCTAGGTAGATGGAAGCAGGTAGATAGATGGGTAGATGAAGTAGATAGATGGGTAGGTAGGTAGACAGTAGATGGATGGTAGATGGTAGTGAATGGTGAATGAGTAGATGAATGGTAGATAGGTAGGTAGATGGGTAGATGGGTAGATGAATGGATAGATGGATGGGTAGATGGATGTATGAAGTGGATGGGCAGGTGAGATAGTAGGTAGGTAGATAGGTGAGATGAGATAGGTAGATAGGTAGATAGGTAGGTAGATAGATGGATAGATAGATGGATAGATGGGTGGGTAGATGGGTGGATAGATAGATGGATAGGTAGATGGATAGGTAGGTAGGTAGGTGGATGGATATAGATGGATAGATGGATAGATGGGTAGATGGGATAGATAGATAGGTAGATGAATGGATGAATGGGTAGGTCGTAGGTAGATGAATGGGTAGATGGATAGATGAATGGATAGATAGATAGGTAGGTAGATAGGTGAATGGGTAGGTGAATGGATGAGATGAATGGAGTAGATGAATAGGTAGATAGAGTAAGAGTAGATAGATAGATAGATAGGTAGATAGGTAGATAGATAGATAGATGGATAGATGGTCATTAGATAGATAGATGAATGGGTAGATGAATGGATAGATAGATAGATGAATGAATGAATGAAATCGTAGGTAGATGGATAGATAGATGGATAGATGGATAGATGAATGGAGGTAGATGGATGGATAGGTGAGTGGATGGATGGTCGATGGTAGGTGAGTAGATGGATGGATGGATGGTGGATGGATGGATAGGTGAGTGAGTGAGATGGGTAGATGGATGGATGGGTAGGTGGATGGGTGGATGGATGGATGGGTGGGTGGATGGGTGGATGGATGGGTGGATGGATGGATGGTGGGTGGATGGATGGGTCGATGGGTGGATGGGTGGATGGGTGGATGGGTGGGTGGATGGATGGATGGGTGGATGGATGGGTGGATGGATGGATGGGTGGATGGATGGATGGATGGATGGATGGGTGGATGGATGGATGGATGGATGGATGGATGGATGGGTGAGTTGGGTGGATGGATGGATGGGTGGATGGGTGGGTGGATGGATGGATGGTGGGTGATGGATGAGATGGATAGATGGGTGGATGGTAGATAGATGAGTGAGATGGGTAGATGGGTAGGTAGGTGGATGGGTGAGCCAGTGGACGGGTAGATGGATGGGTAAGGTAGAGATGGGTGGGGAGATGGGTAGGTAGATAGATAGATGAAGTGAATGGGTAGGTAGATGGTAGATATAGATAGATAGAGTGATGAATAGATAGATAGATAGGTAAGTAGATGGATAGATAGATGGATAGATAGATAGATAGGTGGGTAGGTAGATAGATAGATGGATAGGTAGGTAGTGGGTGGGTGGATGGATGGATGGATGGATGGATGGATGGATGGGTAGATGGATGGATGGGTGGATGGATGGGTAGGTGGATGGATGGATGGATGGGTGGATGGATGGATGGATGGATGGGGTGGGGTGGGTGAGTGGATGGGTGGATGGATGGATGGATGGATGGATGGGTGAGATGGGTGGAGACGGGTGAGCGGTGGATGGGCGGGTGAGCGGGTGGATGGATGGGTGGGTAGGTGGATGAGGATGGATGGAGTGGATGGATGGATGAGTGAGTAGATGGGTAGGTGGGTGGATGGATGGATGGATGGGTGGATGGATGGATGGGTGGATGGGTGGGTGAGTGGGTGGATGTATGGGTGGGTGGATGGGTGGGTGGATGGATGGATGGATGGATGGGTGGATGGATGGATGAACAGATGAATGGACTCTAGGCATGTAGTAGACAGGTCAGACCCTAAAAATTAGCCACAGTTCTGTCCTAGCACTGGACTCCCCCACTGAGGAGGCAGCTTTGGTGGGATGCTGGCTGGTCAATGGCTGTCTTCTCTCAGCAAAGCGTGTGCCTCTGGGGTGGTGTCTGCCTCAGTGTCCGGTGCTCCAGGGCATAGGGTGAGATTCTCCTTCGCTTACCTGCCCCTCCCTAACCACACAGCCCACTCGGTTGTACAGCTGAAACCTGAGCTGTGCGGTGCGTGAGCCTGTTGCTTGGGGCCACAGCCTAGTGGGAGGCGGGGAGCAAGCCCTCCGTGGCCCGGCAGCTCACGAGAAATGCCATATCCTGCTGGGCTGAGAGCAAGGGACTACCGCTCAAATGCTAGCCTGCCAGATCGCCCATTAATACTAGTAGGATACAGCGCAGTAACCATACAACACCTCGTTAATTCGGGGCCTTTCATCGTGGGAGAGCTCTGCTGGCCAAGGCAGCCATGGCCCCAGAAACGAGCCCAAGCTGACGGAGGCGAAACTTCAACGGCTGGAGCCACACGCCCTGCAGAAGCTGGAGTCCTGAATCCCACATCCTGTGGGCTCCAGGATCTGCCCTGCTCCCCCTGCCTGTGAAGAGGTGGGGACCTCGGCAAGCAGCGTGTGCCAT